ATTCAGGTGATAAGGTGGGGGGTGGGGATTACCTTGGTTGGTGATTGGCTAATGGTTACACAAGCCAAAAATCGTTATGACATCATAAAGTGGCCAAAATCTGATCAGCTCATTTTTAGGCAGGTTTTTATCTACCGTAATTTTCGGACTATAAGGCGCACCTGAATATAAGCCGCAGCAGCTAAATTGAATGATGTGTACATATATAAGCCGCACTGGACTATAAGCCGCAGGTGTTTTAATGTTTAATTACCATATGTAAGGGTTCGTGCACAGAGGGGATTGTCGGGAAAGAGATGGCTGTTTGAGGAAGCTCCCATTTATTAACATTTCAACAAACAAGTTGCATATTTTGCATAACGTATTCAAGTGTTACCATTTAGTGAAATAGTAGCTACAGAACATGTACTGTGCTGTGTAAACTGTACTGTATCACATAGCGTTTCAGACACACAAACTTTTCAACTTTCAAACGGTGCGCTCCCAGCGCACGTACCGGCAGTGATCTACAGCAGTGGTTTTCAACCAGCGGTACGGGGACAAACTGTCTCGCTCTGTAATGTCTGTCTGTCTTGCTCTCGTTCTGTCTCTCGTACCACTCTCCGTTCCACTTTTACTTTTGCACGCTACCTGTCTCACTCTTTTCCGGCCTCCAGCTTTTCCTGCTGGAGCCGCCGCTTAAAGGTGGGGGTCCGCGGACCGGCCATAGAGCCCATAGAGTTAAAGGTGGTGGACTGTAACCTGTAAAATCCATAGATTTAGGAGGTCCCCTAGTGGCCGTTAGCTGTAAAAATCCATAGATTAGCCGCACCGTTATATAAGCCGCAGCGTCGAAAAATGGGAAAAAAGGCGCGGCTTATAGTCCGAAAATTAAGGTAAATAGATCAAGACAAAAAGTGAACGAATCTTTTTTCCTGAAACTTTCAGAATCTTTTAACGCAGAGGGGACACATGTTTGTGTATAAAAAAACAGGAAAAAGTGATTTTGCATAATAGGAGACCGTTAAAATATATTTCTTTAATCTTGACAAATGTCAAAGCTAACACACTTAAAAATCTCGTTATACTGAGCAACACGTACATCATCTGGTTGAATAAACCTCTTCATTAAATCTCCATCCGACTACAAACACAGGGTTGGGTGTCTATGTGTATTAGCTAGCATGGCAGAACTTCATATTAATCCGCCATAAATGATGTTATTGGCAAGTCTGAAAGAGGGGGAGTATGAAAAAATACAACCCTGCCGTCTTGCCAAGACAGGAATAAATCTAGGTTTGATATCTTAATGTTGGTGGGATGGTTGGTGGTGTTAGCATTCAGGTGGCCAGCTCAGGACAATATTTGATCTTAGGTTAAGTTCAGTAAACAAAAAGGGACGATCAAAAGAGGCAAAGCTAAAACAGGACTTCTGAACAAACTGCAGATCAAAGAACGTGGGAGGAGATGAAGAAATTAGATGGGCCCGGATTGGTCTCTGTGTGTGTGTGTGTGTGTGTGTGTGTGTGCGCGCGCGCTGAGTGAGTGACAGAGAGAAATGCGGTGTTTACTGCAAGGGGGAAAGAGGTGTTGGTCACATTTTTTCAGGGTGACTGGTGAAAGGGTGTCTTCAAAAGCCGTCGAGACCACAATATAGAGAGTCTGTGTGTGTGTGTGTGTGTGTGTGTGTGTGTGTGTGTGTGTGTGTGTGTGTGTGTGTGTGTGTGTGTGTGTGTGTGTGTGTCTGTGTTCTTTCAGACAAAATGCTTTTATCAAGACACTCTCCGGCATTTATTTCGAGTCGATCAAATCAGACATCTTGGGAATGCAATTGAAGCCTTTACCTGTCGTTCATGGGCCAATCAAAGGCCGGAATGGATGAAAACGGTGAGAAATGTCAGAAAAACAACAAAGAAAGACTAAATCAATAAGCTCTGACTGCAAAATTAACTCCCTGAGGCTTTTCACTGGATCACCAGGATCCTCACTGAGTCAGCAGCAAAATGTAATTATCATTTCAAATATCATAATTATTGATTAATTCAGACAATAACAACTTTTTTTCTTAGCTCTACCCAGTAAAAGGGAATGATTTACGGAGCATTTTCTGTATACCAAGCAGGGAACCCAAAGCCTTAGGGTTTTTCCCCGGTGTGCTGGTGATACCTGCATTAAATATTCACCAAAGAGCCCTGGAGCTATGCGCCCTTCAAAAGCTTCCCCCCCTGCATTTATTTATTTAAAAATGTGTTTATTCCTCTTCTCATCTCCCTCTGCCTCTTTTTTTTCAGAAGCCACACAGTGAGAGCTGCCTGCTGACTAAAAGTGAGCAGCACAAACACAGAGGAGCCGGTTAACAGGTTTCCTTTAGCGGGGGACGGGACTCAAAGAGCAAGCCACGAGTAAAGAGATGGAGGACAGAAGAAAGGGGGAAGAAGCGCACATGGATAGACTGACAGATGCAGAAATGGCTTGTTTTCTTGAAGGGAAGACAGATGAAACAAACATGGAGACACAGAGAGAGAAAGACAGACACACAGCGATGCCTGGGACAATTGCGAGCGCGAGGAGTAAAAGGTTGATCTCAAACTTTCCCGCATGTCAGTGTCATGTGCTGACTGTATTTGTTTGAGTCGATCCCAATAAACAAAAAGGAAAAAAATATAAATATTTGTTTTACTTCCTAATTTTTAACAAATAATTTCAAATACTGAATTTAAGCTATGACCAGTGATGAACGTCGGGGTACTTCCAGGAACCCTGTCAACGCAGCAGTAAAGCTTCATGACTGCTAGAGACAGGCCCCAAAGATAAACATTCAGTTTTGCATGGAGGGTGACGCACTGAAAATGATGTGTTGCAAAATCTAGCACCACTTCCGTTTAGGGTGAACAGGTGTCCTGCTTTGTGCGGGACTGCACAGCATATTTATAATTGAATTAGAAGGGACTAACTGACAACACTGCACATTTGGTGAGATTATGAGCATCCTGGCCAAAGTTACATGTTCAAAATCCTGCCTCCATAACACCAGCTCTGGCACATTTAGAATTTGATTTTTTTCACCGGCTCAGAGTCAATTGCTTCTGTTTGGTCAAACAAGAAGGTAATAACTAACACCAGTGTGGTCTTTGTGAGATTATGACAAACCTGGCTGAAGTTACAGGCTGGGGGCCAAATCTGGCAGCAATAACACCGGCTCTGGCAGATTTAAAAGCCCCCTGCCATTTTATACACCATGAATCCAGAGTAAAATGCTTTTGTTTGCTTAAACTAAAGGAGAATAACTCATTTTGGTGTGATACTGTACTGCAGTCTGTAATCCCTAATAGGAGATATGAAAGCTACATAAGAAAATGTATGAAAAATAAATGAAAAATGTGTCCAAAATATCAAACCACAGGCAGCAGTCAAATGTAAACATGTTTTGATTACGGAAATGTGCTTATTGTGGTTTCAGAACACAAAGACAAACGTGAGATTGATGATATGATGATATGACTTTAATAGAACTGTTTGACAACTTAAATACCAAGATTTATTCAGCCTCTGTCAGCTGTAAAATTGGTTCAAGATCACATGGGGAGATAAATAGTTCCAAAATTGGGTGCCTCGATTGTCTGAACAAGAAAAACTAAAAATAAGATATACCTGGTTGACGGGACTCGTATTTAATAATATTTTCGGTAAAACTTGATATGCTTTTGGGAACAATAACTGGAATTTGGGCTAAAATGAGGACAGAAAGATAACAAATGGGAAGCATTGTGAACTTCAATGTGTTGATATTTATGGATGATGTGCCTTTTCAGAAACAACATCTATCTATCTATCCATCCATCCTGCTCTCAGAGAGTCAGATAGTCTTGTGTACAGATATGAATAATAGCCTGGAAATGAACCTGCCCCTGACTGTAATAACTACATGAAACTGAAAAAAGGGTTTAGCAAGCACACAAAGTGATGTGTCTGGGAATGGAAATATGCTTGCTCCTTTAGTGTGTGTGTGTGTGTGTGTGTGTGTGTGTGTGTGTGTGTGTGTGTGTGTGTGTGTGTGTGTGTGTGTGTGTGTT